GAAGTGGCAAGAGCCGGATTTGGGACCCCAGTTCTTCCTTCTCCAGCCAGCCCTGCCTGAACAGGGCCCTTTGTCAGGAATGTTCTCTGGAAAAAAAAAAAAGGATCTTTTGTTTAGCAGATTTCTAAACATCAGGTACTAGGAAGTCGAGGAAGGTACACAAGGAGGGCAATCAATAGAAAGCAAAGCTGTGGCTCTGGAAAGCGCAGGCAGGGTCCGGATGTGATCGGGTGCTTCCAGGGTCTGTCTTTGCGTGTCCTTGTTCCATTTCTCTCTCTGCGTGTGGCCTTTCCAGACTCCATCACCCCCATAAAACATCCTCTCCTTCTTGCCATGGAAGAAGGGACTAGGAACTACATCCATGGAGCAGTACGATCTCCCCCATGGGATCAGAAGACAGGATTCCAGCCCAAGGTACCTTTGCTCTGAACCTTGAGCAGGAAACACAAGGTCTTCCCCACCTGGAGGGCAAAAGGGATCATGGGTGAACTTTCCCCACTCTACCTAAGTAAGACCATGAAATCCCTCTAGAGATGTGAGCAAGGCACGTGGCTATAAAAAACACACACTCTGAAGCAATTTAATTGGTTAGGGTAAGCATGCCTTTGTTTTCTAGATAAAGTTGTTTCCAAAACAATGTGGCTGTTCCTATTCCCAGTTCTTCAGAAGTATTGTCAGAATCCTAATAAGGTATAGGAAAAATTCCTTGCAGACATTTAATATGCTTAGTGAACTTTGGACAAAGTATTTGGTCCAGGCATGTGGGTGGAATTAATCTTTAATGGTAGCATCATTGAAATATTCACAGTCAACAAAACAATACTTTTTAGTTTGTAGTAGATAAGTTGTTTTCTGGGAAATTCTCAGTAGAATCTCAATTAACCACAACTTAATAGAAGTCATTTTATAGCTAGTACAAAACTCCCTTTTTCCCCTCAACAATTTGTTTTTACTGTTCAAATAAAAAATAATAATTATACAGGGCTGGGGATGTGGCTCAAGCGGTAGCGCACTCGCCTGGCATGCGTGCGGCCCGGGTTCGATCCTCAGCACCACATACAAACAAAGATGTTGTGTCCGCTGAAAACTAAAAAAAAAAATAAATATTAAAAAATAATTTAAAAAAAATTATACAAAAGTAGGCTTTTAAAACAAAGCACATATGTGAATGAGTTTTTGGGGCTCAGACGATATTCATCCAGTCTCCACAGCTACCGTATTTATATCGACCTTGCTGTATGTGACAGAATTAAAAATGATGAACTAGAAATGATGATCCCATTTCCTGTAAATATCATGGTTTGCTTAAGTGTTGTCACAAACTTGCACATATAAGCAAGAAGGCAGTTCTACTTACTTCTTACCTACTTACTTTGAGAACTAAGGGTGTAAGAATTAACAGGATGGCTTTTCTTATATAAATGTCAAAAATTAAGAGATAAAACGTGTATTTTTCTTGTCTGTCATTACATGTTATTACGTAGGAAAGTGAATAGAGAATGGACACAATGGGTGTACTTCTCTTCAAAACTGATGTGGCAACTTGATGTCATTGAAATTACCATATTAATAGGCAAGGGAGGGAGAGGAGGGGAGGTTCACAGGATTGGTTGGGGGTGTAGGGTGAAGTAAGGAGGATTGGAATGGGAAAGACAGAAGAATGAAATATATAACTTTCCTATGTTCATTATGAATACATGATCAAGTATAACAACCACAATAACGGGAAGTTACGCTCCAAATAATATATATCATAATACATTCTATTGTCATATATAACTAAAAAGAACAATTCAAGAAAAAAAGAAATTACAGTGTTAGTTTTCTGTCTTAGAAATGTGTATACTATCGAGCCTTTTATGTTTAGAGAAAATAATTCCAAGGTTACAAAACACCAAGTTAAAAATAAATCCTCACTCCATTTATAACTTATAAATCCATTTATAAGTTAGAGACAGTTCCTTTTATTTTAAGGCAAATAAGTTGACCAATACAATTTGGAAGGATTTTAAACATTGACAATTTAGAGAACTCTACAGCAATTCTACTTTAACCTGAAATTCCTATTCTTAGGACAGTTTTCCTGAATATCCAGTTCTAATAAATTGATGACCTTAACTTAAAAGTTACAACATGGAAACTTTGAGATCTTCTTTTTGATGACATCTTTTGCTAAAGCCCGGTATTAAGCAGGGCTGGATTATGTGATCCAGAGTTTAGCTAAGGAAACTGTTTTCACTCTGAAGTGAACAAATATAAGTGGGATGACAGTTTCCCACAGCTTTACCCTTTGGTCCAAATAGATAATGCTTATGCTTCTAAGTCACTTCCCCTTCGGTGTGGACTGCTATTTTAACTTGCCTGGAACGTAAGCTCCTACTCAGTTATTTATCTGCCTGTGTTTGTACAGCTGGGCCTGAGTTCATACATCCTTTTGTGACTCTGTCCACTGATTGAGGCTGTTTCAGATTTAGATTTAATCTGTATCAGGCTATGAATGTAATTTGTTTAAATCACTGTGTAATCAACATTTAATATGTTCTATTTGATTATTATAGCATTTCCATATAGTTATGTGATTTAAATATTTTGTGAATATTAAACACATTTACAAATAAGTGGCCTTTAAAACACACAGTTTGGGCCCCTATTTATCCAAGCCCAAGGTACAGATGAATGATGAAGAAACTTTGATCTTTGTTGCCCAAATCATTGAGACTAGAAATTCTAGGACTCATGCTCCAATATAATTGTTCCTGGTATCCTGTTTTCATGATTTAGTAATATTAACCCAAATGTTTCTCTCTGGTTCCAGTCTCAAGTGTCATACTATGGAGAACAATCTTATTGGGGTTGGGGAATGTGTAGCCAGAGCTGAAAAGAAAGATACCAAGACACCAGAAGATAAGTTGTCCTGCATTTAGGTGCCATAATATACAGATATACATAAAAACCTTCATTCTCTGGAGTTTTTATGTCCTATATGATGGTCATCAGCTATTGGCCACATGTAGCTACTGAGCACTTGAAACGTGGACAATCTGAACTGAGATGAGCTGTCTCTGTAAATCACAATGAATTTTGAGATTTTTGTACAAAATAAAGAATGCAAAATTTTTATATTAAATACATGTTAAAATATTTTAAGAGCTTCTGGTTAAGTAAATTGATTAAAGTTTTTTTTTTTTTTTGACTTTTTAAAAATGTGGCCTCTAGACAATTAAAGTTACATGCGAGGCATGCATTGTGCTTCTTCTTTGGACAGCACGGGGGGAACAACATGGAGCACTGAGGACCCAAAGCAGAAGCAGAATTAGGCCCACCCCAGTGAGCTCACTTGAGATATTTATTCAAGGGTAGAAAAATTGTAATTTCCCTTCCATTTAGATGCTATTCCTCTCTCAAATTCATTTTTCTCTGATTCATTTGGGCTGAGTTAAATAACATCTTCTGTGATCCCATTGTATATAGATTTTTGATTTATATGTGTGTATTCAGCTGGGTAACTTAAGGATAATAGAAATGCTAGCTATGATCATCATCACCACAATAGCTTATGATTCTGTAACACTAGGTGCACGTAGGCCCCTCCAAAGTACTTTTCATAATACTTCATTTAATCCTTTAATAAGTCAACAGCTGGATGACTTATTCCACGATGTCAACTTGGACTCAGAGAGACCAAGTCAGTGGCTCAAGGTGATATAAGTAGACACTGACTTAGACCATCAGTCCCCAAATCTACCCTTAACCATGAAGCAGTACACAATATCTTGTCTTGGCTTTCATAGTGCATTACTATACCTGCCTCTGTATACAATAGCATGAGTCCTTTCTGCTAAACATAGAGGTTTTAATTTAATAAAAGTAATTATATTATATTGTATAATTATATATAATTATATTAATTATAATAATTGATAATTTAAATCTAAAAGAACTCAAATGTTTTCTCTATCAGAAATGGGAGGCCTACAATTAGTTTGTGGATGATCCAACTCTTTGTTTTACCTTATAGCTGCTCAAAAAAGTATATTTTAGGTCAGTATTCCTGAAAATATAGATGACCTAATTCCAATTAATTACCTAATGAAAGAGTCCAGAGAATATCCCCTCCAAACATAAGACACTAGCATGTGGATCATTTTGAATTAAAGACACTTGGGAATCAGCAGATGCTGGAAAAATGCTCTTCTCGGATACTCCCTTATCTACCTAGAGACCTGATCTGCCTAAGGTGAACACAATTGAGTTAGGTCCACTCCCTGAAATTTCATCAACCAGAAAAAGTTAAATTCATGTTGCAGAAAAGGAGACGAGGAAGGTCATCACACCTGGGCAGACTTCTTGCAAGCTATTCTCTGCTCTTTGATCTCATTCAGTTTGCAAAGAATCATTCACAAATCCCTGCCTGGTCTCAGGGCCCATTCCTTCTTCCCAACAGTCATTTACTACCCCTCAAAAATGGTGTACATTTCTATCTCCTCTCCCCTGTGAAGAAGGGCATCTGAACCCCTTGTGTTATTGGCATTTACCCTCCTAGAGAGCCCGTGAGCCTGGAAATGGAAGCGTGTGTTGCTTTTTCTCCATTTAACCTGCCTATTATCATTCACATCAGTGAACCTTCAGAGCAAGGAGAGGAAATTTCCCTTTACCCCACCACTGCTGTGTGCCGAGCAGGGAGATCCAGAGGTCAAGATGACAGATTACAGATGCCAGCTTTCTGTTCTAGTGACCAAAGACGGTGTATTAGGACTGTAGGTCTGCAGTGGTGAAGGAACAAAGAGGAGGCACATCCAACAAATTTAGGGGTAAAAGGTGGAGATGTAGAATTTTTAAAAAATCTTCCGAGAGCACTTGATTCATCTTAAAATCTCTCACACTGCTTTTCTTAGCTCTTATTTTTGCCGTATGAAGGCCATTGCTAAAGGTGCCCACCAACTATGGTGTCAGTACTTTGGGTTGCTGAGAACATGCTAACCCATTGCTGTGATTTTCAGGTACCAGCAAGGTCAACCTTGTGAAGATCGCGTCCACAGCTTCCAGCCCTCGGGACACAGCCCTGGCTGCGGTCATCTGTAGTGCTCTGGCCACTGTGCTGCTGGCCCTCCTCATCCTGTGTGTCATCTACTGTAAGAGACAGTTCATGGAGAAGAAACCCAGTTGTAAGTTTCTAACTCTTTATATTTCCTTATTGTTATTAATTATCATTGTCATCCAAGTGTGTGACAAGAACAATGGCAAAGGCAAGCATCAGTAGTTGCTGAAGGATAGTGAGCACATGAAAATGGACCTCACCAGGGATGGCACAACTTTATAACAACACTGACAAGGCGGGGATGTCCCTGTGCCACAAGGCAAATATTAAAATTGTCCTGAGATTTGGCAACATAAATACCCTAAATTCTGAGCTTTCTTAACCAATTAGTTCATATTTGTGTATAAGAAGAAATAGTCCTCAACTTACCTGATTCAACTTAACAGATTTTTGACTGTACAATGTCATGAAAGCATGCCCACACAAGAGCTACTGTCAGCACAGCATTCTAAATTATATGGGATATTCAACACTTTACTATCCATATGCTTTGTGCTAGATGATTCTGCCAAACTGTAGGCTGCTGGAAGTGTTCTGAGCACATTTGAGGTAGGCTAGGCATGCTGTAATGTTTAGTAGGTTAGTTGTATTAAATGCATTTAAACATCTTCAACTTGCAATGGGGTTTTCAGGTGAAAATTGGTTTCTTACTTGGGAAAATGTGGGCAAAAGTGATACCAACTTTCTCTGTCACTTGAATTCATCTGCAAAATGTTTCTATCACTACAGGTTCCATGCAAAGTCGAGCAGGATCTGTAATCAAAAATCGCAGCGATAGCGGACTTTTTCTCTAAAAATACAAAAGCTAGAATGGTTCCAGTCTGGGTTATGGTGTTAATGGAACTCCCTTATAGAGGAAATACTATTCACTGATAGAATTGTCATTCCTGTCTTTAGGGTCTCTGAGATCACAGGATATTCAGTACAATGGCTCTGAATTGTCGTGCTTTGACAGACCTCAGCTCAGCGAATATGCTCACAGAGCATGTTGCCAGTGCCACCAGGATTCTGCCCAGACCTACGGTAAGTTCAACCACAAAGGGCCTGTCAGACAGCAGGTGGAAGGCAGAGTTTGAAACTGCAAAGAATTGTCCATTTGGGTCTCACCATAAGGTGGCTGGGCTCAGTTTTCTAGTTATAGTTAATCTTGTTAAATCATTCTCCACTATCTTTTGTTGGTTGGGGTGTCAGATCTCTTCACAATTAAAAAGAAAATAAAGCCAGGGGCAGTGGCACATACCTGTAATCCCAGAGACTCCAGAGGCTGAGGCAGGAAGATTGTAATTTTGAGGCCAGATTCAGCAATTTAACAAGAGCCTGTGAAATTAAAAAGGCTGGGGGTGTCCTCAGTGATAGAATGCCCTTGGGTTTAATCTCCCTAAGTACATAAGCAAGCCCAGAAAGTCAGCGTCTCATTCAAACCTAACATTTTTCAGCAACTTTCTAGGCAAGTTTGCCTTTCCTTTTTTGAGTCAGGTTGACTTGAAATCATGTTGACCTGATGTAGAGTAGAAGTTTTTAATCCTTTATCTTGTGAATTCAAACGAAACCTTCAAATCAAACCACTGAACTCCATGCCCAACCCTAATGTTTCCATTTTAACGTCTTTTGTGATGTCTTAAAAGGAGCAAAGAGGTCCATGTCAGAGTTTTCCTCAAACCATAATTGCTTCTCAGATTATTGACAGACATGACAGTTTAGGAAAGTGATTTAAATGGAAATCGGTTTCTCACTTGGGCAAATGGGAGCAAAGGTGAAACTGACTTCCTTTGCTATTTATATGTATTCATCAGCACGAGGTTTTTACACCTTACATGTCCCATTCCAGTCCCCACTAAATGATCTCACTACTCTACAAATTAAAATTGCATGTGACCAACAGCCCTCCCTGAGTCTATCCTAGCTTCCCTTCTCTCCCTAACTGCATTTCTGTTAGCACCCACAAATGCCAGGCTAAATTACACCATGTCGAGTCTCTCCTGGGCACATTTTATTTGCTTTAAGTTAAATATATCCCCGTGAGGTTGGCTTGTCCTCCTGATACTATCCAATCTTGCTTTTCAAAAAATTGCAGGCTGAAGTGTTTCAATCTCATAACTGATTTTTTTTTCTACTGATCATTACTATCTTCTATTTTAGGAATGGGTTAAAAAGCAAAATACAAGACTTTCTGTGATGGGTGTGGATCCAGTTTTGCCTTTGCCTATAGATAATGGGCTCTTAACTATTGACAGTAACTTTGTGATCCCCAAACACACCCAATCATTGTGTCCTCTTGAATATTTCATGGACACTGCTACTAGAATCAGAGTAAGCAGGAATAATTTCTTAAGAGATGAACTTTAATTTTAATTCAAAAGATTAATTTGTAATACAAAAGATTAAACCTACAGGTGGCCTGGTTTATACAATCTCTAAACAGAACACAGAAGATTCCTTATACCAATGTCCAAGTTCAGTGTAGCTTGTCATTATAAGCATTTCCTCCTCATGACAGCGCCCCTTTTTTTCTTTAAACATGTTATTCTGACTTAAGTTCTGACATATAAACATTGAAAGGATAGGACAAAGAATTTCTACTTATCTTTTACCCATATTTCAAAAATATTAATATTTTTTTCTGATTTGCTTCATCTCCTCATAAATACATGTATATATGTACATATTTTTATTTGCCATTTAAATATCAGTTACATAGATGTGTGCATTTTCCCCTTAATATTTCAGTGTTTATTTCCTATGAACAAGAACATTCTCTTACATAATAGCACAAGTATTAAAATCAGGAAATTAGCACTAATGCGATGCTGTTTCACAATCTACAGAGCATATTCAGTTTTCTTATCTATCCAATAATGTCCTTCATGGCAAAGAAAACCAGATACCACTGCTGCATTCAGTTGTCAAATTTCTTTGGTCTCTTTTAAGCTGCAGTTTTTCCTGAGTTTTTCTTTGTGTTTCATGGCATTGAAGTTTTTGAAAAATACAGGCCAGTCAGTAGTTTTGCAGGGTGACCTTCAGTTTGGGTTTGTCTACTCTCCTCAAGATTAGATTCAGAAATATTGCAGAGGGAACACATCACATCCTTCTCAGTACACTGGATCAGGAGGCACCAGTGTCCCTCTGTCACATGTCTTGTCAGGTTGACTTTGGCCACTTAATTAAAGGGTATCTTCCAGGTTTCTCCACTGTAAAGTTATTGTTATCTTTAATTAGTAAACATATGGGGAAAGACAGTTTGAGACTATGTAAATATCCTGTTCCTACCCCAACTTTGACCCAGGAGATAGCATCCCTGATGATTTTTACCTAAGCCAGTCATTAATAATAGTTTCTTTTTAAAAATTTCGAATTTGTTCTTTTTAGTTATACATGACAGTAGAATGTACTTTGACATGTCATACATACATGGAGTGTAACTTCCCATTTTTGTGGTTGTATATGATGTGGAATTACACTGGTATTACTAATGGCTTCTAATTCCATCATTCTTTCTACATTTACAACTTGGCTTCCTATGAAAAGAAGGAACTTTCCCTTCTCCCCCACTTATTTATTTACTTCAGTTAGTCTAGACTCCAGACTGTGAACCTTAATCAGTGGTTACAAATTCTTTGGGATCATTTGTAATTTTGATGTTCAAATTCTTCTAGATGTGGTCAGTAGACGTTCCCTCAGACTGGTTCATATGCTATTGTGACATGTCCCCTTTATATTTCTAGCACCTTATTACTTTCTGGCACAAAAAGAATTCCAGGTTCGTCTTGTACTTTCTCTGAAATCAGCCATTTCTACCAGGAATGGTAGTGCCTTTTGCTTTTAAATAATTTGAAATTATGTCCCATAGTGAGCATGACACATTTGTTGAGTTACTTAGTGGTAGAACCAGAGCAGGTCCCGGCAGTCACAGTTCCCAGTCACCATGGTATGTTCCAATGTACCATACAGAGGTCTTGCTTTAAGAGAGATTTAGATAAAGTCTACCTGGATGTCCTGTCAACAATGGTTTGCAGTTGCATCTCAATATATGAAATTAATTTTTTGAGAGGGAAATAAATATTAATTTCATAATATTTCCCATTTATAAAAATAGATATTCCCCATGGAAAAATTTGGAACACACAAAAACAAATATAAATACGTGTAGATATATATAATTTTTTCAAGTTTTTTTTAACTATGTACACATGTCTTTGTATTTGTGTGCTTTGGTATCTTAATAGTTTCATAAAAATCAAAATTATACTTAAATGTGCATAGAGAACAAGAAGTCTAGAAAGCCACTCACTAAAATGTTGGCCAAATTAATATTTCCATCTTATACAATTGGGAAAGATTATGCTTATCTAAAAAAAAATCTTTATATTTTTTTAATTTTTTCCTTCTTCAGTGAGCATAGTGGTTTGTGAAGCTGAGGGCACACATCTGCTTATGCTTTAACTTACATTGTCAGCAATTAAAAATAGGCATATGTGTTCATTGAGTTAAGGACTTGGAACATTTTTAGGTTCTTGTCTATATTACTACACATTCAGCAGAGGAGTTGTACTGTTTCTCCTGTCATCAGCATTGTGTGAGAGTCTCATTTCACATGCTTTCCCATAGCCTTTTATCATTTTTTTATTGTGGTAAATACACATAACACAACACTGACCATCTTAACCATTTCTAAGTGAACAGTTCAGTGGCGTAAGTACATTCACATTGCTGTGCAACCATCAGCACCATCCACCTCCAGAACTCCCAGAACTTCCCAAGCTGAAGCTGTCTCCATTAAACACTAGTGTAATGTAGGAACCAAACCCAGCATTCTGTACAACTACAATGCACCAGTAAAATAATGTGGGGAAAAAAATGAAGCCTAGTAATAAATAAATAAATATTTAAAAATTTTTCAAGTCCAAGAAAGAACAATTCAAAATATTCTAAGGAAATGAGCAGCATTACAAGCTTATTCCACAACGGAAAAAAAAAAAAAAAAAAACTAATATACAGGGCTGGGCTGGGGCTCAGCCAAAGCGTACTTGCCTGGCATGTGTGAGGCACTGGGTTCGATTCTCAGCACCACGTAAAATAAATAAAGGACTATCAACAACTAAAAAAAATTTTTTTAATTAAAAAAAAAAAAAAACCTACTGTACAATTCCATCCCCACAGCTCCTGGAAGCCCCTTGTCTACAAATGTCCCTGTGGGTTTGACTATTCTAGGTATCTCATAGAAGTGGTTCATCTTTTTTTTTTTTTTAAGATAAGGAAAAAGTTAACTTCAAGTTAACAAAGGGGAATACCTAAATTTCCTAGAACCATGCTGAATTGGTATTAAAGAGAAAGTTCCAGAGAAAAGCACTATGCCTCATGCCTCTGCTGGCTTCCCCAGGGCCTGTCCACTTGATCCCGTCCTTGTGCTGTGATGAGGCCTGCGGCACTGACCGGCCAGCGCTTGGTTGTGGGGTGCATTCCAGGGCCACCCTTCCAGAGAGGTAACAGTCATTTCAATGATTTCACATTCCCTTGTACATAATACATTCTTCTAACTTACTAATTTTCATGTGGAACTATAGAAACGTTGCTCTTTAAATATTATTAATGGCATTCTGGGTATTGGAGGGAGATAGTTCTTTGGCAAAAATTAAGGAGGTCTCTCAAGGCGCGAATAGACAATGTAATATTCTTTGTACTTTTCTCTCCACAAAGTTTATTTTTGTCCTATATTATGACACCTCTGTCATCTGTAACTTCCATGTACTTACTGTGTATTTGTTTAGCATATTCGTTTCCTATAGGAAATGGCATATATCATATAGTAGCTTAAGAATATTAATTAGAAATATGTATAGGAAATCAGATTTAAAGTAAATGGAGTACTTTGAGTCCCTGTATTGATGCAACTTTATAACAATAGGAAGCAGTAGAATCCTGACTTAAGAAATTGCTATTTCATTTAGAAGACTTAAAATCATAGCTGAAATGCTACTTTGTAGTAGTGTTCTTTCTCACCATGAAATTTAAAGATCCTTTGAACATATGTTCAGAAACGCAGTTCCAGTGGGGGAGACCATGCCAACTTTCTTCGGGTCCCTTTCAAGGTCCATGTGTGGTGAGTTTTCCGATGCCTGGCCTCTGATGCAGAATCCCATGGGTGGCGACGACATCTCTTTTTGTGATTCTTATCCTGAACTCAGTGGAGAAGAAATTGATTCTCTCAATCCAGAAAACAAAAGCTCAACATCTTTGGATTCAAACAGTTGTCAAGATCTGGTTGGTGGAGCTGTTTCAATTCAAGCTCATTCTGGAAACTTCACAGAAACTGCTGATTTATCTAGATATAAGGAGACAGTGGCAGAGTCAGCGCTAACTCAAGAAGCACTAAGTACTGGAAGCCAGCTAGATCCAGAGGGTGGAGATACTGTGCACCCCACCACTCCCACATCCCTCCAGGTAAGGCAGTGTCTGACTTCAGCTTGAGTGCCGTGTTGACTTGTGGCAGACCAGAGGGAGGGGAACAGAACTCCCTGCAGTGAACATGGGCTAGCCTGGGCTAGGATGTAGCTCAATGGAAGGACACTTGCCTAGCAGGCATAATGTTCGGGATTCCATCCCCAGGGGGAATCCTGATAAGGTTTCTCCATTTTTCATAATTTCACGTACATTGTAGAATATGTTTTAAAATAAATTTCAATGGTCTTTTTTTTTTTTAACTAATAGAGCTATTCTATAAGACCATAAAGGGCAGCTGCATTTTTTTTATTCTTCTTTATAAATCTGATTACTTAGTACTGTAAGGGTAAAAGAAATTGAAGTTAAAGTGTAAAAGACCGGGCATTGTAAAGTTTCTAAGCTGCAAGGCCTGAGTTAAAATGTAAAGGACCAGGTATTGTTAAGTTCCTATGCTACACCTAAAACCTGAAATTCCTGTAGCTGTTAGGACAATTCACCGGAACGGCCCATTAAATATTCCCCCTGACCGCCTGGTTGTTTAATAACCTAGGACTCTGTGTGACCTTGCACGTAGACATCGCAGGGCCTGAACCAATCAGTTTGAATGTGTACCCTGCTTTAGAACTGACCTATCATCCCCGCCCGACCTGTTCCCGCCAATGAATGTACTAATCATGTCTCAGAATTGTTGTTTGATTTTCCCGCGGTATATGATGAATTGTTGAAGGAGACTGTGATGTATGTAAAGTCCCTGCCCTCCCCAAAAAGTGTAATTAAGCAGTGCTCAGCCCCTGCTCGGGGCTCTAGGCTGCTCTCCCTTCTTGAGTGAGCACGGAGCCCCAGCGCGCTGGATTGGATCCTCAATAAACCCCTTTTGCTGTTGCATGAGCCGTGGTCTCTTGGTGGTCTCTTCCTCCAACGTTCGCCAGACCCTTACAGTACAGTCTCCTTTACTGACTGAAGAGACAGGTTACCAGAGCATCTCGCAAACAATTCCAGACCTTCATTTTCTAAATATATTCTTATGCCCAATCTTCAGTGCACTTCACTCATTGTCAGGGTGATCAAAATTTAGTTCTAAAACTACTCCTCCCCTCTTCCCTTCTTTCCTATTGTTTACTGGATTGTTCAACTTTGGGCAATTTATCGATTTGGTTGAATATTGATTGGTGGTTGTGATCTAGAGGCAAATGCATCATAAGATTCTCCCATGTAGAACATTTTAAAATCAGGTTTAGGGGCAAGAGGGGTGGTGGTGGCCAGTGCAGATATGGGGGCTGGTACCCTGCAGTGCTGGAGCAGGAAGGATTCTGGTAGAACTGGCACCATCTCTGCTTTCTCCTCCAGGTGATAGGGACTTTGCTGAATTTGACTTGATGCTTCTGTATGTTTCCTTAAATGGAAGTGCCTGCATTATCAGCATAAGTCTTGGAATGAGGTCAGCCTTGAGTAAAGAGGGCTAGTCACAGCTGTGCCATCAGCTCTCAGGGCCTAAAATACCTTGCCCTGCACCGCAGCCTTGTTGCTCTCACTGTTTGGTCCTTGCTGCACCAAGTCCAGGGCTTCAGGCCTGAGCAAGCAATAAAAAACATACTGCACATGCTGCGGAGTGTGGCCTCCACTTCTGGGAGACTTCATATCCTTGTCCACTTATATCAAAAACTTAGCCCAAAGTCAACGTGATGTAGATGTGTTCCTTTTTAGGATCACTACATAGATAGCAACTTTTCTTTTTTTAAAAAACTACAAGGAAATTTGCTAGAGAATTCTATGCAGCAAACATTTTTTAGCTTTGAAGGGAAAATACTGTTGTCGTTAGTCTCAAAATGTGGAAAATGGAGAAGAGGTAAACAAACAAAGAAAAAACAGACTGGTCAATTTAAAAATGTAAACTACATTCATCTGAACTCTACTTGTAGCTAGGGAAGGTTACTTACTGATCCTGTTTTTTTGAGTCACCCCATAATTCATATAACTTTCATGATGATAAATAAGAAAAGGGTTAAGAATTTAGAATGGATTGTGCCCCACAAAACTTAGGGGCTGAGAAGGCCCAGCAGCCTCCAGCAGGTAACAAGTCCTACCATCCAGGCCTCCATGTAAGGGAAGGGAGGGTGCAGCAAAACAGGTGGAGGCGAGTCCCACCCTTGAGCAACAAAGCCCTGGCTGCCCTGCCAGCTACCCCAGTGAGTTACCTTCCCCCAGGCCTGTTGCACCCTCTGTGTGTCCATTGTCATGGAAAAGTCTGAGTAAGGAGGATTATCAGCTCCCAACTGACTAACCAGGGTTTTGCAGAGTCTTGTCAGTAAAGAGAATTAGTTAGCATCATCATCAATCTTGTAGTTTGTCCCCTGGTTCATGATGTAAATTGCTAAGAGGGGGGAATAAAACAAACACTAAGTCTTATCTGAACCAACTCATTGTCCACCTTCTTCTGTTTGTGGTGTTGGAGGATTGGGGATATGGCTTGTAAGCACTGCTACCACAGCTTTATGAATGTGAATTTGAGAAACATATTTTAATACATAAGATTGGCACAGGTGACATTAATTCCTTTTCAGAAAAGTCCAAGAAATTGTCAGTAAAGATACTTTCAACTCCAATTATTATGAATTGAAAAGAAAGTTGTAATCACATCTAAAATGAACCTGCTGAGAAAATGTTACTATTCTATTGCATAACATGATTTATTAAAAGCTGTTAATAATTTTTCAAGATGTGTTACCTTACAATTATTAGATCACATAGGGAAACCTAAGTTTGACATTCTGAATTTAGAAAAGAATTATTAAAATGTAAACCTTTTTGATTTCCCCCCTACAATAAAAAACAGTAAGTAATAGTTCAAGGCCACTTTATTTATGTGAGTAAGGGGGTTCTGGGAATGAAACCCACTGAGCTATACCCCCAGCCCTGAGCCCATTTTAAGAGATAATCTTTTCCAGATTCTAAAAAGCATTTTCCATTTAGTTGCATTTACTGAATCCATGAAGTATACTGAACGAACCCTAATCTTCCAAGGAAAATAGAGGCAGCAACAGCTGTAAACCTTCAGAAGCTAGGCCTCTTTACTTTAGGGGTCAGCCAGGTGTTTAACTCAATTAGTTTTTCTTGTTGTTGTTTTGTTTTCTAAAATACAAAATTTTAAAAAGCAATCACATTTCTCCTAACAGGTTCAATTTTCCAAGACAGAGGACACATTTCATAAAGAATTTGATTTCAGCAGCTTATTACTAGGAACACACAGGGTTTCTAGTTAATTCTACCCATTCCTTGGTTCATTTTAGTTAGGTCATATTTATAATATGGGCTCATTCAGAATTCCAGAAGGCACTGTATTTCTGGGTGTGAGTCTGTGATTTCTAGTGCAAGATAGGTTTGTTTCCAAAAACTGTAGTTTTCTTGTGGGTGGTTTAAGACCACCCAGAATTTGATGATGATAGTTATGGTTCAGGATAAAGCAAATAGGTGTGAGAGCCTTCTTTAGTCTATATGACTCAATTTTAATCAAGTTTCCTTATAAATTTCTCCCCCAGAGGGGAACAGAACTGAGGCATATAGCACATCATTTGCTGATATTTGGGAGAATGAAGACAGTCTGTTAACTTACAGGCAAAGCTTTTCTTGATGTTAATATTTAAATGTGAGCCTAAAGGAACAAAAAGAAGTTTAGAAAAGATATGAGAACACCAGGATTCTAGTCTTTCAGTCTACTGAAATCTACTTTTTCCACATAGGCAAATTGAAGATAATTTGCCTTTTGCAGTAGAGTTAATGTGGTTATTATGATGAGGTCTGTTAACCAACACATTTGATTAAATGACCTCTTAGTATTCAAAAAAAATCAGGAGCTTTTATTCTAGTTGTATCTCTTAAGATCTAAAAAAAACTTTTCTACAAACTTATGTATGTCACTGATGCTAATTAATGATAATAAATAAGTCAGTGAAGGGTTAATGAGCGAGATTAAGGTTCCATTCCCTTTTGGTCATGTTCAGATGGCTGAAGACTCCTCCCTTCCTGAAGTGAGGTCAGTGCCTTTCCTGATAAGGACAAATTAAATGGGTCCCCTTCACTGAGGATATTTGTCCTATGATGATTGTGACATTCCAGGAAGACCGTGATAAGAAAAATTTCATTCCCTATTTCTATACATTCTCCTATAGTGGGGTGGAAGTCTTGAACTCAAAGACTAAGTTGACAGATAAAGAATGGCACTATTCATTGATCATTTTTGTCTTTGAAAGAAGGGCATGAAGAACCCTAAAATCTTTACCTATAAATGCTCTAAAGGAGCCAGCACTGAAGAAACATGATTTCAATGATTGGATGAGGTTGGAAATCAGCAAAAACATTGTTTATTCACTGTGATCACTGTGGGTTACATTAACATCTTTTAAGTAATCTTGGCAAAGATTGACTGTGAGTTGTTATGGAAACCTCAATTTTATTATCAGGAGTATATGGGTTCCTGGATATTACAATACGATTGAATGAATTTCTTGTCATGCATTATTAAATTCATGGTAATACTAGTAAAAACCATGCATAGTCATCTTTTATTATAGTTTAGCAGCTTGAAGGGACTGTTTTTAAAGCTCTTCTTCTCTCACTGTTTTAGGAAGCCTAAAGGCCGTTCTTCTTCCTGCAGTGGAAGTGTGTGTCTGGAACCCAAAGGGCACCGCTCTGTTAGGCTTATGGACTGAGCAGTCTGGACTCTGCACAGTTTCTGGAGAAAAAATAAATCTGAACCAAACTGATGGCATTTTAAGCCTTTCAACTAGTTGCTTCTGAGCCAGACCAGCTGTAAGCCGAAACCTCAATGAGAAGCAAGGAGATACTCTAGGCAGACTATTTGCATCTTTCCTAAACCAGAAGTTTCGAGTCTTCAAGAACAACTTCAAAGACTGGTGGGTTGAGAGTAGCCTATGAGATGATGGACACATAGCAAGATACAGCCAGGTGTTCATGCTCATTTTCATGGTGAATGTGGTCTAACAAGGCTGAAGACCCGGAGCATCCATTGTCACTGACATTTTCTTTCCAAGAATAGTCTCATTTAGTCTGTTATCCTGCTAAAAGTACATGTCAGATTCTTAATATTAGCTTTTATGTAGAATGGGTTTGAAATTTAGTGTTTCTGTTGAATAAGGAAACTTTTTCATCATCCCAAACTGACTGGCTTAGGTGGTTAAATCGACTTTGTACCACCTGTCTGAATCTTGGTTTTATTAAAGGCAGTTAACTGACCAGGAATCGGAGAACACCCCTTTTCTAGAATCTCACTTCTAACCTCAGCCTCTATCACATCGACACCTTCTGGTGCTGGTAGGAGGTGGAACCTGAGTTACTGTGGGCAGCAGAGGGTGGCCCATCACCCTGGCATCAAAACCACTTGATGTGCATATCCTAGACACTTGGATGCACAAGTTAAATTCATTAATATTCATGTTCAATTAGTTGATATGGAAGCACTTGTCACATCTGTCTCTATGCCTGAGCTGAGACGGTACAGGATTTCTTTTATAAAAAGGAGATATTTATATACATGGTGATCTCTTATTTGTATTGTATCTTATACTAAAGGTTTTGGGGATCTCAGCATATCAGGTTCCCCCTGCTACTGAAGTAATCTTCCATGAGAATATGCTACACTACATAGTAGAAGAAAAAGTAGAAAAGTCTGTAAGAGGCACAGTGTGGTTTGACCAGAACTCTGCGGTTGTCCCTCTAATATTACTTATGAATTACACAGCACATAATCTCCTGTATTAGCCAGATGATATGGAATTTAGAAGTCTGGTGCTTCTGTCAGGGTGCTCCATCTTCTATCACCTTAGGATTTACAAACGATCATTGTCTCCAGGACTAAGAAAGAAATGAAACCAGTTCAGTCATGAAGCAGGGGATAGCTCATTTGTTCTTAATCTTAAGTAGAAAGGGATTTAATTGAGCAGGATTTTTTTTTCCCCTCTTGAAAGATTCATGATCAGATCTGGCCTTTGTCTTTTAACTGCTCCCTATTAGCTGTCACATTTACACTTAAACAATAAATAGACCTTTGAACATCAGTGTGTTAGAGGAAGTTAAAATATTTGTTTGGGTTCATATTAAGTGTCTTTTACCTAACATTTAAATTAAACATTAATATTAATCTGTCTTTTCTAGGTCATTTTTATTACCCCAACATTTTCTTTGTAAGACATTAGTAAAATTTAACAAGCCCTCTTCCTTATAGCCATTTCTGTATTCATAGTTTTAGGTTCTGACATGGGTATATTAGCTGTCTGTGTCTGTTTCTGCTCATGACTTCAGTTCTTTTCTCCGAAATAGAAAATCACAATGTCTCATGATAACCCCCATTTATTTATGTTTACGTGGTGCCTGGTCATAACCAGTGGACTTTCTTTTTTTGTTTCCTGTTTTAGTGGAAGCTAGTCATTCTTAAACTTTGGTAATCACCAACTCTTATGAAAATTGCCCTTAGGAAATTCTAATAAAATATTTAGGATTTGGCCACAAGACATCTACGAAAATGCAAGTCCAGTTTTCCTTGAGTGGCTTCATGTATTTCACAGAAGTATGCCATTGTTTGCAATCCGATCATCTCTGTTATGACAGGGATGATCAAAGTAGGCAGGGTTGTATTCCTTTGTGTAACCTGAATATATTTTCCATATGGAGAGTCCTGATTAACTTCAAAGACAGATGCTTGCTGAAGAAAGCCAGACTGATGGGAAAGAGACTTTGGCCCCAAATCCCAAAACATCACTTTTGATCAGTAGAGAGAGATGCTTAGGGTTGAAAATGGATTTCATTTGATTCTACATTTGAAAAGTCCTGGGTTATTTTTATCAAGATGAAGACATCTGACACCACTTACTCTAGAAACATATTATGTTATATTTTACATTCTTTGTAAACAATTGAGGAAAAAAATTCTATTTGTATCTGACAGTGTTGGAATATCCTACAACTTTCAATAAGCTCAGCTGCTGGAGTCAGGAAATCTACGTGGAGAAACATGGTCCAGCGGGCATCATCGCTGTTTTCCATGCTGTGGAAGCTCATGACAAGAATGAGACAAGGGTTTCAAGCACAACCAAGTCAAGTCATGGGTTTTCTAGTTTTGTGTATATGGAATATATTTTTTAAATACTCTACTTTAGATCAGGTGTTGCTATTAGGTTAAGCACTGCTGTCCGTGCTAGTAAAGAAAAAGAAAAAAACATCATTGCTTTAAGATAGTTTGAATAAATTTTGATTTCACTATTGTTTTGCAAACTAGAATTTATAAATTTGTAAATTATCATTTTCCTATACAAATAGTTTTGTAATACTTTTTTTATTTGTGAATAAAATCAATACTTGTTGTTCTTATGTATGTGTCCAGTAAGAAAATCATTGGTTTTGTGGATACAGGTATATTTTAAAATTTCTTACCAGAAGTCCACTTGAGGGTTGTGCAAAGTCCTGTTCCTTCAGAGAAAACCCTCTTTGGTCTCCCAAACTTTAAGAGGGTGAATGTCACAAAATCCTTAGTAAGTTTCCTTGTTATATTTCTCAGGTATGTCAAGCTACTGAAAGATTCCCAGAATTACTTTGAGAAGTTTTTTTCCAAGATTTTATCATGATCTTATTTTTTCTCTTCATTTTATGACACAAAACGGCAGGAGAAAAACTTTTTAAAAAGTTTTATGGTCCTTCATTTTGTAGGTCAGTTGGGTGTCTACCAGCCAAAGAGTAGACTGAAGGAAGGAAAGAATGTCCACAGAGCCACAGTGGTCACTGCAGGAGTGTCTTTTTCCTTCATGGCTCGACTTTCCTTCTTTCTCGATCTCTTCCTTCTCCTCAGCAGAGCTTATAAGAAAGTTACTAAATTTTGAGAGAAGAGTTTACACTTCCTGAAAAAAAAGTGTTACTTTCTTATTTTAAAGTGACATCCTGATGTCCCAATTGGCAAGTCTCTTGTGTTAAGTGGCACTGGGTTCCATGTGGAAAGGACACTCGTTTCCCATTATTAAGGTCTTTGCTGTTGGCTACTTGCTATTATGAGTTTGTTCCATTATAACTTGAGAAGGTAGTAAAGAATCAAAATGGCACAAATAAAAAATTTAAATCAAGTATCATAACCAGTAAAGTTATGAAAGTAACGTTTAAATTTATCAAGTCAATCATTTTCAAACTAAGTGGTTTCTTAAGAATTTCCAAAACCTTCTATCCTATCTAACAAACATCAATAAAACTTGGTATGTGATTATATAGATATAATTATGTTGAATAAAGGAGATGGTTCACAGTATTTTCATTCTCTCACAGTTCAGCCAAAGGAGGATCACAAGCCTTCTACTCCAAAGATTGAGCAGACCCAGTTTGGGTCATTTCATGAACTACCAGTAGCATTTAAGTCAGAGTGATTTATAGCTGCTTTCAAATTAGTCTTTCCAGAGATCTTGAATTTTAAAAACTTTGCAGCAAAAACACTTTCTCTAGATCCATGGGTGGTCTTCTGAGGTTTCAGTTCTAAGTCAATAAAGACAAAGGGTTCTTTCTCTTTCTTTATCTTGAGTTTGAGGGCATAAACTATTCCTAGGTAAGAGCAAAATAGCTGTGTCCTATCAGGTTTTGTTTAGGGTGAAATTTAACCAGCAGAACTATGCAGAGGGATTTTCCTTACTTGAGTTGACTATTGACAGTAAACAGAAGATCTGCAGAACGCTCTGCTGGTGATCTCTTAATAGCAGGTTGGGAGAGCAGGCGGCCACACATCAAGGCCCGAGGCACCATGTCCCTGCCTCCATCTATCAGATTTGAATCGAATTCCCTAAAGTTCTGAACACAGTCTTAACTCCTCTCAGAAGGCGCAATCTCCTAAAAGGCCTTTCCTTGTGTCAATCCTCAATTCAGTCATTTAAAAGGTATTTATATAGTAGTATAGAGTGTTTGCTGGATTCTAAATACAATACCAGGGCTTAAGCGGATACTGCAAAATATGAGGGGGGCAGACTTTTCAACTATTTATTAAATAGTTCTTAATTCTAAAGACATAAATGCAAATTCTTGGGCACAGGGGAGCAGTGATGTTCTGGGCAGCCAGGAAGGAGCACAGGAGTGGGAGGGAAGTCTACTCTGAAGACTCCCATGGCACTTGGGAGGTGGGAGGCTCCCAAGTGGAAGGCAGGTGGAAGGAGCTAGAACCGCATGAGGAAAGGCACAGCTTGTTGAGGGGATGTGAGGAGCAGGGCGTACTGGAGCACAAGGAGCAGGATGAGATGGCCGAGGCTGACAGGGGTCCAGTGTGCCCCTCCCAGGGACTTGAACATCCCCCTCCAGAGGATTTGCTCATCTTTAAGCAAATGTCATGACATGAAAAACTCTTTAAAATTGTTAATCTTCCAGAAATTTGGAAGTGCAGAGTGAGAGGAATTTGATCTCTCTCCAGAAACAGAAAATTCCCACTAATGAGAAGTGGCCACTGTCCAGGGATAGAGGTAGAAAGTCAGTGCCCTGGTTGGAAATATTGAGTGTGAGCTCGTTTCCCCCATCATCTAGGTCACCTTGAGCCTGTCGCAACTTCCACTGCCTGGTGCTGACCATCAGGTGTAGGTGTAGGATTTGGCTGGGGTACCTGCTAACATCAAGCCAATATTCTGAGTCTTTGAGGATACTCAAGGCAGGGATGACAAGTCTACTTGTGTGGCCTCAC